ACGTTAAAGCTGACCTTGTTTTGGCTGTAAGTATCCTATCCACTAAAAAACAGTTCCCCTGTTTTTAAGAAATCTGCCCTGCCCACTGGGGGGGGGGGGGGGTACTGATATTTCCCGTCCCCTACAAAAAATCGGCTGGTATATAGTGTATAAATAGACAAGGGATAAAGGCTCCAGCCAGCTCTTTCAAATTTCGCGAGTTCGCGACACGGTAACAGTCTTGTGATTAGCTCTTAGCACATTCTGGTCATCATATAATGATAAAGTCGGATCATTTCTCGCGAATTTCGCTATGAGCGCGTCGTGTCAGCAACAAGTTTTGCGGCATTTGATATTTCGTTACGACAGGCTCTGACGACCTCAGTCAGTTCCCCGGATGTTGATGAAACGGCCATCATTCAGAAATTCCACTAACCATGGAGGTAAAAAGAGTATTTTACCTCCATGCACTAACTTTTACAAAGGCTACATTGCCATCATGAGCAACGCTTTATCGGAGGCGGCCCGGGACTATGGATTGAATATTACATGTATAGCGGGGTCAGCTAATGTAGGTCAGGTAGTCGAATGTTGAGGTAATCGCAAGTCAAACGAACCGAATGTTGAGGTAATCGCAAGTCAAGCGAACCGAATGTCAAGACATTTGGGCGTGACAATAACCGAATCTTATGACAATTGAATGTAATAGAATGAACAATGACAAAATAATATTGTAGCAATTTCACAATGATGAAATAATTAAGAAATAAAGTTGAAATAATGAAACAATAGCAATAGGATGCTGCCGTAATAACACAATAATGGAATAAGCACAAAATAATGTTTAAATAAAGACCAAATAACCGAATAATGACCAAATAATAACCAAACAAGTTTCCAAATAAAGACCAAACAACTAAACAATGTTCAAATAATGACACCAAGCTAATTTTGGCGGTATTCTCACCTCATATAGTAGAGCGTACAGCAGCTCCAATCGTAGACAAAATAAATTTGGTTCGCTGTCTACGACATGCATTAGAAAAACTCTGTATTCTGTTACGCTGTTGTATACTGTTTATGTGCATCCAAATAAGTTGGGTCCGTCTTCTCTCGCGTACCTGTGCACGTCGCTTCAAAATTAGAACGAAACATGTCAGCAGCAGGAATAGAACCTCGCGCGTGTCACCCATTTTTCGTTCGTGAATAGCGGCTTGCCAAACTTCACCGACTGATGGCGCCCCTTAGCCCGTGCTTACGACTGACACTCCCTGTGCGTGGACGCAATTGGGTCTAGCCGAAATGCAAATACATGTATGCTAGATAAGCCTAAATCAGATTAAATCTTAGCCCGTACTTCGTGTAACCATAGACCCTCAACAATCCTTGTTGAGGGTCTATGGTGTAACGTGAACACAACTATTCATACATGTACATTGTCTCATCTACTTATACAATAGATTAAACTGTTAGAATACTTTTATTTTGTGATGGATATGTCTCTTAGTTAGCATATACTACTAGTATACAATGCAAAGACATATATTTCAAATTTTCTTTAATATTAATTTTTCAGTTAGGCAATTCAAGTTCCGGTTATGCGTTTTTAGAAAGATGTAGAGCAATGACAGCGGGTGCGCCCTCGCTAAGTCCTCTACTGCGTTACTTGATGGGTGGGGCGTGTAAATATTCTATTTGCATGTCTGTGTAGGTGTCAATGCTGTTATGTTACGTGCCTCAGTAGTACTATGGAACTATAAGCCACTGGTTTATAGTTCCATGGTAGTACTTGGCTTAAGGATAGGTGAGCATGTGCGTTACGGAAAACGCGTTTCATCTCGGCTAAAACCAAAACAAACATTTTCAGAACAAGGGTATAGAAATATAGTGAATCAATGTAAGTACTTGAACACCTACAGACCAATGTGGCGGTCGTCGCACAGCGAGTGTTCGAATCTTATGTAAACAAACAATGTATTACACATGTTGTATACGTCGCTATGAGTCCCATATCAAACAGGACGCGGCACGACGACCCCCGCCCTTTAAGGGTATCATTTCACTTTACACTTACACTTTTGGAAAGCAATAACAGAGTTAAAAAATACACATTACCAACAAATAATAGCATTAGTGATAATATTACTGTAGAGAAATGGATAGACATTTCTCAGATTTGAACAAGAAATGTGAAAATGACTCTTTATTAGATACAGATATTCATAATATGGAAAACGATAAGGTCAATATTAATCTGAAAAAAGAAATTACAAAGGTTGAAATAATTAAAGCAATTAATCAATTAAAAAAGAAAAAATCACCAGGCAAGAATAAAATCACAAATGAAATGATTATTTATGGACAGTCTGTATGCCAATTAGAAAACTATTTAATAGCATATTAGACAAAGGGCAGTTTCCAGATCAATGGGTATTTACAAATCTGGTGATAAAAACAATTCCAGTAATTATAGAGGAATGAAATCGCATTTCAAGTTATCTGGCAAAACTAATACATCTGTATTAAATAACAGACTGCATACATTCTAAACCAATGTCAGGCTGGATTCAGACCTGGTTATAGAACTACAGACAACATGTTTAAAACAATTGTTGATAAATACATAAAAAAAACAAAATTACAACAAATAATAAGGATAAATTAAACAAACTGTTTGTTGGATTTTGATAGCATATGGCGTAAAGGACTGTATTATAAATTGTTAAAGAATAATATTACTGGAAACGTATATCAGGTATTTAAAAGTATGTATAAGGATGTGAGATACAATATAAAATTAAACAATGAATCCTCCTGGGGGAAGGGGTACTTGCAAAAAATACTGACAGGGGTGTGTAGCTGGTTGTTTGAAACCCCTACCCCTTTTCAGACAAACTGTGGATATTTGACACTCCTTTCCAGACAGTAAGCATAAATGGTAAACAGCGAATCAGAGGATTCATTTCAAGTTTATTCATTCCGGGAAATGGGGGTGGGTGGTCAGCTATTTTGACGATTGAAATGAAGTTACAAAAAGAAAAAATCAGCTTCATTCTCCTGATTGTTGGATCACTCAAGCTCTAGAGACAGTCTTTGGAAAATATGGACACCTTTTTAGACAGAAATAATGAAAAAAGCATACCCCTTTTCAGACAGAAGTGGTGAATTTGGGACCCCTTTTGGGGCCCATATACATATAGCACTTCAATGTGAGTACCCCCTTCCCCCGGGAGCCTGTTATATGCTGATGACCTTGTCTTTGTGTCAGAAACTGAAGCAGGTTTACAAAATCATTTCAATAAGTTGGCATTCTACTGCAGTATGTCGAACCTAAATGTAAACACATCTAAAACAAAAATTATGATTTTTAATAAAAATGGCAAATTATTAAAGCATAAGTATAGTGTTTGTTATGAAAATGAAGAACTAGATATAGTTAAAAATTGTAAATATTTAGGAATAGAATTTAAACCACTGGCAAGTGGAAAGTTTGATCTAGCAAAAGAACATTTATATAAGAAAGCATTAAAAGCTTTTAACTATATCACAAAAATAATTAGCACATCAACAAATATCAACATAGCAACTTGGATCAACACTTTTAACCATATAATAAGACCAATACTAACTTATGGATGTTAAATATGGGGTTCAGAGAAGTATACAGATAAAACATACATAGAAAAATTAAATTTTAAATTGTGTAAAATGCTTCTACAAGTTAACCAGTCAGCATCAAATCTAGCAGTTCGTGGAGAATTGGGCAGATACCCAATCTCAGTTTTCATTAAAAAAATGATGGTCAGATATTGGTATAAAATATGTACCAAAATGGAAACAAACTAGTAAATGAGGCAATTTCCTGTAATATTATTGATCAATTACAATGGGCAAAATCAATACAAGAAATAATAGGCAAAAGTTAAATTAATAATTATTAGAAAGAGACCAAGAAAATCATACATCACATAAGTGATCAAATAGAAGCCAGTTATGTAGATTTGTGGAGAAAAACAATTAATTCAGAAAAATCTAAATCTGAGGAAAATAATAAATTAAAAACTTACAGTAAATTCAAAAAAGAATTTAAAACAGAGCAGTACTTGACAAAAATTGAAAATCTAATTTATAGAAAATATATATGCAAACTCAGAATTAGTGATCATAATTTAATGATAGAGGAAGGTTGTTATAGAATGTGTGAAAGGTGTGATAATAATAAAGTTGAAGATGAATTTCACTTTCTGAGCAGGAATGAGGTTATTTCAATCAGCACAAACCTCAAATCATAATTTCAATATGTTAGATAATGAAGTATATATATATTATGGGCAACATACATATAGAACTGGCAGTTTATATTAACGAAAGTGCCATTGTCTAAACCAGTATCAACAGTATATTTATTTTCATCTCTTCTTTTTTGTAGTTTTTGTTTTGTTTCTTAGCATTTGACTATGTTCTATTCAAAATGAATAATGTCAATAAAGTTATTATTATTATTACAAAATGTTTTTAAAAGTACCACGTGGTCTTGGAAAGGATATGAAAATGGATTCATAACCACATGCTTAACGCCCATTTGCAACACACATGCAATCCACGTTTTGTCTGAGTGGCTCTTAGGTCTGTGACAAAATGATGGGTGATTTGACGGATATGGGGACACGTAAGGACACTATAAAATAGCGCCATCTAACGGCTCCATGTAAAACAATCTCTGAAACCCCGTATCCGCAAAATTATTTTGAGCCTCGTTCAGCAACATAATTTAGATACGTTTTTAAGAAGCAAATTATTATTTCGTTTTAATACATTTGTTATAATCAAACTATATTTTCATAATATAATCAATAATGTTGAGACCTGTGATTTATAATCAAATATTTGAAGAGATCGTATTGACCTTGAATCAATGCACTTATGTTAGTTGCCACTAACTTGTCGTATTAGTCCGCGTGAAACTACATTTTAGGTTTTCCTAATAATACTACTCAAATTCATTCCAAAAGTCACCACTGTGCCGCCATTGTAATATAATAAATATTTAAATTGTGTTTGAGGTTGAACAATCTCACTTTTCAAACGCACGACGACGTTTAATTTTGATTGTCAAACCACCGTATCACGTGATCACTTTTAACTGGAACTATTTTCAGAGTCGGCCATACTCAATTCACAGACCTTCGTGTAAAATTTGGAGCATTTCCTACATTGTTATTCGGGTTATTTTTCAACGATTAATCCTCTTCAAGCAGCACACATATAAAATGGCATTGAAAAGAATAAAGAAGGTAATGTATTCTTCTTTATTTTGTCCACGGAAATGTTATTTTACGTTTATTTCTTCTGTGTTTCATCTTTTGTGGGTGGCACACGTCGAACTACGTCGTAACCGAATTTTCGGCATTTCATACAAAGACAGACATAGTTAATTCACTTCTCCATGTAACAATGCCTTATCATTGTCCATTTAAATGATATTGGCCACTATTCTAGATGTGTTTAATGTATTCAATTACAAGTGAATTATGAATTAGTGATCAGTCCAATCAAAGATTGTTTTATTTTGTGTCAAAGACCGGCTCGTGCCGGTACGGCCAACAACCCCACACCGGGTTATTTCGTCATTACAGAATAACTTCCTGAATGTCTTGCTTCGCATGAAACTGTCAGAAATTATGTTTATACTCCAGAAGTATAACTCGCAAGGCTGTAGTTAACTCCCCACTAACCATCAGTACGACAATAACATCGCTCACCTGTCTATTTGTGTAGTTGATTCGAGATGAGTTATAATTATTATTTTGATCAGATTTCTACGATAACTACGTTTTAAGTAAATACGTCACCCTACTAAGCCGACATTTGGATATTTGCAATTTTTGAACGCATTTCTGAATCGTAATTTGTTAGTAGATTTGAAACGCAAGTATTCATTAATTTAATATTAAGGACAACTCGGAACTGGCGATTCCGGGACGTTGAGTCACCTTTGTGATCTGCCGTATAGAACCAGAGTGACTCATACCTTGGTTTTTGCTGAATTTCAGTGAATCTGTCTTTACGCATGTTATACATGTCCTGCTCAAATCCAGATAATTAAATTCAAAAGCCACAACAATTTAAATGCTGTTCATTGTTCTGCTTTTTGTCAATGAACAGTTATGTTTTTAACCTTGTTCACACTTAATTGTATTGTTCACTTGATTCTATGACTAGTGACTAGTTTCAATGTCATTCTGACCTTGCAGGAATTGCAAGACCTTGGCCGCGACCCACCAGCACAGTGTTCAGCAGGTCCTGTAGGAGATGACTGTAAGTTGCTAAGAAGGTATTTTATGCTTTCCCTTCAAAGGGAGAGAAAATGTTCAATGTTGAACATTATAAAATTGTTCATGATTTGTCTCGTCGGTCTTAACCTATAATATCATGTTGACTGAAGAGTATGTCCTGGTTTGTATGTCTCTAGACTTCATTTCCATATATGCAAGTGTCTGTCTCTTGCATATATAATTGCTGTTCATTGGTATGTTATACTGCCCTCATCGGTATTTATTTATTTGGACTGTTCAAGTCAAGTTGAAGCGACTTACTAGATTGTTGCTGATTGGCTATACAAACTTAACACCTACCAGTCAAGCCAAGCGGAATGCAGTTTTGTTCGTTGAAAGGTTCTTTCAACAAATTAAATCATGTCTTGTATAAACCAGGGATCATATTTAACAAAATTAACATGGCTAATAATTTTGTAAATGCTGAAACTAAATGCATATTCCGTAACTTGTCTGAAAAAATGGCCAAAGTAATTAATGCCTGTCAACTTTTCTGTAAATTTTTTCGTACTTTTGTTCGACAAATATTAACATTAAAGCGATATTTATTCGCGAGCCCAAGGTGTGAGATGGGAATTCCTACTGATAAATAGCACACTCTAAGTTGTTTAGATTAACCACCGTTTGCAATGCCTCTGTATTTTCGTTGCTTGGATGTGAGTCATTTGTTTTGCAATTTAAATAGCAATTTTGATAGTTGTCTTGCAAAACTGCAGTTCAATGCACATGTGCTCCATCAGTAACATTGATGGGTTTGACTAATCTATATCCTGAACTTGGGATTTTTAGAATAGTTAATCTGTTGTGTACCACCAGCCAATAAGTCATTTTAGTTATATCTGGTTAAACAATTGACTTGTCAACTGGGGATTTTCATGTCAATAGTTGCTATATAAAACTGCCATGCTTACAAAGGCTGTAACACTGTCTGCTAAAATAGCTAGTCATGCATGATTCAAGATGGCCCTTTTTTTACGAACAGTTACAGATTGGACGATAAAATTTAATATACCAGCGAGTGTCTTCCGGTAGCTTCTGTAGCTTTATTAATGTTGTGCCTTTTTTTTTTCAGTATTTCATTGGCAAGCAACTATAATGGGTCCAGTAAGTATACAAGTTTTATATACATCATTTAAACAAAGCATTCATACTTGGTATACTGATAGGATGTGCTGCACACAAAAAAGACTAGGATTTAGCCAAGTAAAAGTGTGTTCTTGACGAATAGATGTTTACCTGTGGGATTTAACTGTTGCCCTAATTTGTTCCACTAGGTTGATTGATTTACTGTCGTTACCTTAATTCTTCAAACAATATTGTGGTAGTTATACTTGTCAAACTTTTAGGTAAATGTAAATGTCTTAATTTGTGAAAATTGTGAAATTTTGTAAATGTTCTCTGGGATTCTTTAAAACGTAATGAAGTGATTTTTTGCTATTTTTTAAAATTATCAAATTGTGAAAATATTGTCTGTAAAAATTAAATGATGTACTCTATGTGACCTTCTCTACATAATGAATGGTTAGTGATTATGTTTTGTTTCATCCACAGCCTGACAGTGCATATCAGTCTGGTGTGTTTTTCTTAACTATTCACTTTCCAACAGATTACCCATTTAAACCACCCAAGGTAAGTAACTGGTATTCACTATGAAGAGTGCAAATTTAGAATGCACTTTAAAGGGGCACCTTCCAGTTAGGCTTAATTTCACAGCAAATTTACTTTCTGGATTAAAATAACAATGGATAACAAAAGATAGATTAACATTGTAAACAACATAAACAATAGTGTCCCATGATTCTTTGGTGCAATCTATGGGATTGAGCGGTTCCCCTTTAAGGTAGCGAGAAGGTTTTGTGATGTTTTTAAATAAAACATTCTCTATCTGTTGTCTCGTTCAGAACAGTAATTTAGGTTATATATATCAAAAGACTGAGTATAGAGGTGCAAGTTCGCACAAACTGGACAGGACATTGTTTACATAATTATCACGTGACATCAAAAATG